TGGCCCCGCGGTACCTGTGTAGCCCAGTGTAAAGAGGCAGCCTGCGGCACAGCCATGCGTTAATCCTGACAAAGTATGATGGGACTTAATTTCTTTGCGAGAGCCGCTGATGCCTGCTGTGTATCGACCGTTCTCAAGTCTATCGTGCCTTTACTCGCGCACTCATCTGATCTCCCTGACACCGTGCTGTTTCCCCCTCGCTCAGTCCTCTAGGAGAGTTTCCCCATCTGCAGTAATGCAGAACGCGGACATTTTCTGTCTGTAGCCTTGCCCTGGTGGGAAGAGTCATTGCTACGTCCTTTGAATGTGCAGCATCTGCAGTGCCTAAAAAGGTAGGAGCTAGAAAGTCGCTTGTACTTCATTGTCCTTGTATCTCATAGGAGCAGGAGCTGGCTTGGATGAGCTTGTAAGGCCTTGTGTTGGAACAGATCCTGTTCTGTTAACCCCATTGCTTCCTTCTTTCTGACAGCACTTTTCTTCATGTACCATCTCTTTCCATGCATATTGCCCACCGAAGCACCTCATGATTTCCCATGTCTTCAGTGACACACCAGAGGCATCTGAAGTGAGCATTCGGATCTGCAAGGCTCATGTGAGGTCCCCAGCTGTGGACCAACAGCTGTCGTTACAGGTCTGCTCTGGGCCAAGGAGCATTTTGCAAAATACAGTCATATTCCCGGCAGCAAAATGGCAAACGCGAGGTGGGAGGCCAGGGCTTCAAAAGCACTGTGTTGTCTTCCTGTGCCTCTGCCTCTCTCTCGCTCTTGTGATAGCTGAACGTGGTACCTCACACAGTACTCTGTGCCGCGAACTCGCATCGTTCCCAGGAGATCTCGCATGAGAGGATTCATGTCATTGTGTACACACAGAATTTGCAAAACTATAACGTGAACCTGTTGAGCGGGATGGGCTGTGTCTCAAGGAGGGAGAAAAGTGAGGGACTACAGACAACCCCTTTCTTCTGTTGCTTTTACTTTCCACAGTTAATTCAAGAGCTGGATGCTCATTTAATTGAGCTCCTGCACAGTTTGGAGGGATTACACAGGGAACCCTTGAGCAGAAATGTTTGGCTTTTGGTTGTGTGACAGAATAACAGTGTTCTCGAAACGTCTGTGATTCACAGAGAGAATGTGTGTGTGTGTGTGTGTGTGTGTGTGTGTGTGTGTCAGGGAGCAATTACAAAGGATTATTTGTAGGTAATAAGGACAGCTGTAGGTCAGGCTAATGCAAGAGCTATTTTACTATTGGCAGTACTATTGGCAGTTCATACAGTCCATTTCAGTCAATAAAGCTCTTATATTTTGCAGCCCCCCCACTGCATCAGCCACTGCAAAAGAAGCCGCTAATGACTGTTGAGTGGTGGTTATCTGCTGCATTTTGCCTTTGCTGTGTAGAGCCAGATTGCCCCCCTTCCTCTCGGAGACCTGAAGAAGGGGGCTTGTGCCCGAGAGCTTGTCAAACGCCTGCCCCGCTCCGCAGCTGGTCCCGTCAAAGATGTCCCGACGAAGCCCTCGCCTCCCGTACGTTTCCGAGAGCATCACAGCACCACAGCCCTCCTCCCTTCCAGTGAAACACCTGCGAGAGGGGCGTTTGGGATGCCCATTGATCCTTTCGACTGCTCGGCAGTGTTGTACAGAGGAGCTCTGCACCACCCGATGGCGTAGGAGTCAAGATTTTCTGACCCGACCAGTGGTTTTGGACACCTTCTTTTTGGGTGTCTGTCTTAAAATGGTTCCAGGCTTTCAGACGGCAGCGTGTAGTACTTTTTTTTACAAACAACGGCCCCACGACAGTCTCTCCATCAGCAAACACAAAATAGCTGGAGAAAGAGACACCCCAGTGGCCATAAGCTGTCTGACAGGTCAGCCTGGAAGGGGAAAGGGGGGGTTGGTTGTCAGGCTGGCGCAGCACGTCGCTCCCTGGACTGACATTGTTTTGGGTGATGGCAGATCCTTGGCTTGGCCTGGATTTCCTCTGTCTGCCCCGTTCTGCTCTGTGTCCTCTTTCACGTGTTTCATACCTGTCTCTTGGTTTCCCTTTCCCCTTCACTTCCCGTTGTTTGAGACTCCTTCTGCCACAAAACCGTGACCCAGCATTCAATTCTTAGGTGTGATGGTACGGCTTCACGCTGCACGCATCCATCTGTATTTTTAAAATTCATTCTGACAGCCTCTTATCCTTTGGACAATGAAACCAATCCGTACAACAAAAAGTTAGTGGATTTTGTGTGCGCTTCTAGTTACTGCAAAGGGCATTTCCTGAGCACCTATTCCTGCCTGCTGTGTGGATGATGATGTATTGCACTAACGGTGTGTCATTGATCTAGCACGGCGCTGCCAGTTGCCTTTTTGGGGAGGTTTGTTGTTTGAAAGAAGTTGTTAGTCCACGCCGCGTGGGATGGGGAGGATGATGCTGGCATCTGGCTGGGAAGCCCTGGATGCAAACGTTTCACTTCTGTTATCAGGGGTAGTGGCAAGAAGGGACGAAGCTGTCACAACGGCTCCATGGGCAGGCTGCAAAGCAGGCGCAGTGCCAGATGCCAGGTGCCATGTTTGGGGACAGGGGGACGCGGGTGCTGGTTTGAGGTGCATGATGCCAAG